TCTATAACATTTAAATGCACCTCTCCAATGTCTAAGAGAAAAAAAATTGAATGAACATTTTTTAATGTATGACCTGCATCACTGTACAGAAGACTGCCATATGATAGCGCTTTCTAGCTTGAATGTCAGTGATTTTAAAGTAATTTTGAGTGATAAACATGTTTTCTTGCCCGGCGGGCAAATGCAATTAAATTTGTACTCTCCAACAATTAAAACTACTTGTCTCGGGTGATCAGGCAATGGTTAACATCGAGCCCTGCTATACCCCATTCAACAATTAATTGATTACTAAATTAAATGACGATTGTTTCAATAATCTATTAATCACAATTAATCTGCTTAATGATTTCAGGCCTAAACAGGATTAATAAGAGAAACCATATAAAAATTCAATGGAGCTACACAAGGAAAGGGTTGAGGCTCTGGGCTTCCATTCAAACTAAGCAGATGCTGTCAGTTTAGGCAAATTTGAGACCAAAACTGATATGATTGCAGAGAAATAGCTTTACTTTGGTCCTTTGACAGAACTGGAGTAAAATTTTTAATTTCTAAAACAAGGAAATTTAGGTTTTTATTATCTGTAAGCCATGATCATCAACTCATTTTCTAAGACCAAAAATCTTTTTTCTATTCTATTTTTCCAACATTCAAGGTTTTTCAGATGCACCTTTAGATTGTGGATAAAAATAAATTTTAACACATTAAAGGAGCCATCTATACTTATATTACATCCGATGGCGCTTTCATTGCTCATTGCCTATAATTAATATTATTCTTTTTCTATTCTAGAATTGCAGAGTACCACCTAAAAAACTACGAGTCGGCAAATGCAGCCTTTACGCAGGCGCAGCAGCTGGACGGTGAGTCTAATCTACTTCTGTTTTCCACTGAAACCAAATGTCTTTGTGTTTCAATGTGATTATTTGTGAGGTTTTTGTAAATACTGAATATTTGCTGCTGTTTCAGTGTATAGAAATCCAGCTAACCTTTTGTCACTAAACGTCCTGTATGTGGGTTTGAATTCTCTGAGCGCATCAAACGTTAAACGTTGCTTCAACTTTATACCTATATGGATGTTTGTGGGGTATACTGTTAGTGTTGTATTTCTTTGATTATCTTTGTATTTTTATTATTATTAATCATTTCTAGTATCCACTTGTGTCTTTTTCTGGACCAAATCATCTTATAACTTTATATTGTGATCAGATATTTGTTTTTCTGTTTTATGTTTTCCATATGCACAGATATTATGATAGTGATGTATTTAATGCCTTAATGTCAGTCAGGTCCTAACATCCAATCCTTTAAGTATAACTGGGCCAAAATGACTAATGCAAGTTTGTTTTCATGTTTTTGTTGTACACAGGAGGAAAGATATTTGTAAAATATTTGTTTTCAGCAAAAATCAACAACTTTAACATTTGATGTTGATACTATATCCCTGGATATGGCACATTTGATTTGAAACTTAATTCATCATTTTAAGATGACCTCTTATAGACTGGCTTTGCTTTCTGCACCGAGAACCTAAGCTGCTTGATTTTTTCATTACATTCTCTCTCCTTTTATAGATTTTAATTATTTATTGAATACGTTTGGAACTTTTCAAAGGTTTGCACACAAAAAAAATAGATCGATCATAGCAGGTTTCACAGTTTTTGCAGAAATGTTTCCCCTCTGGTAAGAATACCAGTGCACGGTTCCTGCGGGTCCTTAAAAAGTCTTAAAAGGCATTGAATTCTTCAAAATAAAACTAAGGCCTTAATTGGTATTAAAATGTCTTAAATCAGTCTTTCGTAGGTCTTAATTTTCAAAACATCATAAATAGGATTTTTTTTTTATTACGATTTATTTTTGTAATCTAAATAAAATGTTAAAATTGACAATTTTTTTTTATAAAAGAAAAAATAATGGCTCACTATTATTGGTTCCGTCCCAATAGCGGAACCAATAAAAGCGGGACATTTGGGATATGTGCCATTTACTTTTTATCTGGAAAATATGAGCAAGTGTAAATGTAACGAAAATTGGCTCCAGCCAAGAGTTTTCTCCATGGCTAAAACAAGGGGACATACATGAGGCACAGTGGATTTTGTGCAAGAAGTAATTCAAGCTCGGAACGATGGGAATTAAGGCAGTGGAGTCACATGCGAAGCGCAAAACACAAAACCTAGTTACCGAGAATCAGCCGGTATTTCTCGATTTTGTTCCACCCTTGTCTCTGCAACGCCTTCACTTATCACCAAATCAAACATACTAAGAAAACAATACAAACAAAAATAACTGCAAAAAAGACTTAGCACTGGTTATGTTGTGGCTTTAAAACTGATTTGTTTTGTTCCCTGCTAAAACAAAGTTTGTGAATTCAGTTAAATAATTGTGTGAATTCAGTTAAATAATTTTTTTAATATATCTGTCATTTGTGTGTTTTTAGCTTTCTTCATGTATGGGAAGTTTTTCAAAA